TTCTGTTACCGCAGTGCCTCGAAGACCCGGGAGCGTGACTCACTGGCCTTCTGAAAAACTGGGATTGCGCAGTTCTCTTTGCAAAGGCTTTTCAACCCAAGCACAGAAAAGATCGAAGGCGTCTCAGATCTGCTTCTTAACAGGGGTGGTGGCACGTTGAGATTTAGCGAGCCGGGTGTTCCTGCCCGCTGGCCGTGCCCCTGCTCTACCTGGTCCACCTCCATCTGTGAGACCAAGGTCGTTGTTTCTGCTTCCCAGCAGCCAAATCCTCACTCGGTTCCCTGATGGTCACTCGTTATGAATCTCCTCATGAGTACAGGTTCTGCTTTTATTCTCTAGGTTAAAGAATTGCTTTGTCTCATAGCTTTGGGTGGAAAAAGCCTTTGAAGATCGCCGTCGGGTCAAAAAGGATCAGTGAGGATGACCGGGAGAGCAATAGGGACAAGAAGAGTCCTAGGGAAAGGTCCCTACTGGAGCTTTTCACACAGTGGGTGGGTTTGCAGAGGGTGGGCTGTGGCCATGGAGGGGATGCTCGCAGCCGAGCCAGGCTGAAAACTCCAGGTTTGGGAGAGCAAGATGAGTTTTGAGAATTCTGACTTAAGGAAGGTGTGGTCCCTACTCCCTCCGCCGTGATCCCTGGCTCACGGTGTGTATCACGTTGCAAGGGTTTGGCATTCGGGGCTGTGAGACGAGCCATCGCGTATAAATTTTGGCCATGTTGAAATGGGAATTGTTTACTCTTTTGCTTCTTGCCTTTTTATGAGGAAGAAGTAATGATGACAAAAGCAAGACTCAAAATATGTCGAATGGTTCGGGGTTTTACAGTAAAGCAAAGCTACTCCCCAAGCTTCTTTCTAGTCCGTTTGAAAATAATCTTCTTAAATTTATTTTTTTTTTTCACCACGTGTTACCAGAGGCGAATTTCTGATGGAGGACAATGGGGTTGATATTCAAGTAGCTGCTGCTCTGAACCGCAACCTCCGACGGCTGAGCTTCAGAGCACCAGAAAAACAACAGTCTTGCTTGCTAAGAATGCTTAGTCTGCCTATTGGTCTTCTCGCACTAATGATCTCCAAAATTGAAAATGATGGGGGAGTTTGGCTTTAACAATACCGTTAAACAGTAATGCAAGGGGATTATTTCATGCCTTTTTTTTTTTTTCTTTTTTTTCCTCTGGTGCTTTAAGACATTGTGCTGCAGGAGAGCGTGGGCTTTATTGATTAGCTCTAAAGCTGGTCTGGCTTTCCCCAGGATTGATTGGAAGCCAACTTTGTAATGCAGTGTGCGGGGAATTCTTTGGGGGTTTTGCCCCTGATAAATACGCTTCGAGAGGCTCTGCAAGAACGCGCTTTTCACTGAAAAGAGCTCCTGCACCTGAGTGCTTGCCTGCTCTTCCCAATTCTGCCGTTAGTCAGGAGGAAGACACCAGTTCTTCCTACCAACTCGGCTTTGCCTAAGGGAAAGAATAGCCCTTCTGTGAATGATTGCTTAGGTCGGGTTATATTTTTCCACATCTCTCATTTTCAAGCTGTTTGACTGTTAGGAGTACGTTCCTTCACGGTGTCTGGCGGATCTTCATTCCTATAATATGTTCCTGAGGGATGTGCGTGATTTGAGATGTTTGCAGAGGGATGCAGTTAAATACGCAAACCTTAACGGTTACCTGGGCATCCTGGCACTGGTTTTGTGATTGCTTGTGGTTTGTACAACCTGTCCTAAGTCTGGTGTGTTTGGGTTTCACAGCCTGAAGAAAACTTCCTGTTTTATGGTACCTTAAAAGAAATATCTATTGGTCTGTCTGTCTGTCTATCTATCTATCAGACTATCTAGCGGACTATATCCCTATCTCTCCCTATATCTTAATCGTTACTTCTGTAGAGTGTGGAACATCCGTCCTTACAGGCCAGATGAGTTTCTGTGTGACCACCGGCCGTGTTATTTTGGGGGTTCCCACTGTGCATCTTAGTTCTGGAGCGGCTTCTGCACAGAGAAAATCAGCCCGTTTGCATGCCTGCCCTTGTTTTTCTTTCTTCTGATGAGAAAAACCAAAGTAGAACCGATACCTCCTGGTGACACGTGCCTTTACCATTGTCTCCCAGGTTATTCTGAGGTATGGTTTCCCCTGGGATTCTTCCTCTCTTGGCTCACTCTCGCTCTCCAAGCACCGAGAGAATCAGTTCTCCGTGACGTTGAGGATGAGGAGTTTCAGTGAGAGGCTGGACCAGGGCAGTAATAAGCAGGTTGTTTCTCCTTCCTCGTCTGTCTGTGTGGCTGCATCACGTCTTGCTAGACAGGTGGCAAATATCTGCTTGTTCTGCTCTGCAAATCCTCCCCCTCGTTGCAGCCACACCGAATAACGGCGAGTAGATGAGTTTGATTCAAGGCACGGCGACATGCGCATCCAGACCAAAAGCTGGAGGCCAAGAGCTGCAAGTGGGGAGCATAAAAAGCATCGCTCGCTCTTCTGACCTTGCGCACCTGCAGCCCCTGGAACAAGGAGCCCCTCGGGAGGATCATAGAATCATAGACTGGCCTAGGCTGGAAGGGACCTTAGAGATCATCCAGTCCAACCTCCCTGTCACGGGCAGGGCCACCTCTCCACTAGATCAGGCTGCTCAGGGCCCCGTCCAACCTGGCCTTGAACACCTCCAGGGAGGGGGCAGCCACAACGTCTCTGGGCAATTTATTCCAAAGTCTTGCCGCCCTCATACTGAAGAATTTCTTCCTAAGGTCCAATCTAAATCTATTCTCCTTCAACTTAAACCCATTGCCCCTTGTCCTGTTGCTGCACACTCTTGTAAAAAGTCCCTCCCCAGCCTTCCTGTAGGTTCCCTTCAGGTACTGGAAGGCAGCTCTTAGGTCCCCCTGAAGTCTTCTCTTTTCCAGACTGAACAGTGCCAGCTCCTGCAGCCTGTCCTCGTAGCAGAGCTGCTCCAGCCCCTGAGAAGCTTCTCCTTCATCACTGTGGGGAGCTGGCGGCCAAGAGGGGCTCGGCTGTGCTCTGCACCCAGCTTGGCCACCCTTTGCCCTGCCCCTGAGCTCTGGAGAGCAATCCTGAGCAGCTGCTTCCATCCTGTGGGGGACCTCTTTCAACCCCTGAGCTCTGGAGAACGGTGCTGAGCAGCTCACTTCATCCCAACATGGGTCTCTTTGAGCCCCTGAGCTCTGCTTTGCTGCTGGAGCGGTGTGTGCTCATAGTTGGGGTAGTCACAGCTATTTTTATTATTATTCTTTATCTGTGTGGGGCTGGACATGAGGAAAAAACTTGATTATGAGGTTGGTGAGACAATAGAACACGTTGCCCAGAGAAATTGTGGAAGCCCCATCCCTGGGAAGTGCCCAGGGCCAGGTTGGACGGAGTCTGCAGCAGCCTGCTCTGGTGGGAGGTTGGGTGTGTGTTCGTGGGTGATCTGCTTGGGTAGCCTGAATTTGGGGCTGTGTTTTACTCCCTTTTAAAAATTTTTTTTATTTTTCTTCCTTTTTCCAGCGAAGGTTTCCCATTGCTATTCATGCTGACCAAAGCGTGCTTAGAGCTCCGTTACGGGAGTTGTGTGAACGGAAAGGCTACTTTGATTAACCGTCCAGGAAAATACACATACTGTGTCAATCTCTTGTGTTTCCCCCTCTGAGACTAAACCAAAACAGTTTTGCTCAGATCATGAAAAGCTTTCGAGTCTCTGAGGAAATTTTTGATTGTTTCACTGAAAACGACAAAACCCATCAATCAAAATGAGGCATCGGACCGCTTCAACCTTTCCAAATCCTTATGGTTTTCTCTTCTCTGAATTATTCCAAGCCCGATAGTAATTCTTCTGCTTCACAGCGGGGGTGGGAGGATCCAGCTTGTACCTGGCCGAAAAAGAAATCCTATTTGTTTGTGTATTTTGTGCATTTATCACTATTCTCTGCGTCGGCGCCCAGATGCACAGAAGGAGATGGCACAGGGCGACCTTAACGTTACGCTGCGGCTTTTTCAGAATTGTGGAGGCTGTGTGAAAACTGGAACAGCAGGGAAAGGCAAAGTTTGGACACAGTTAAGGTTGTGCTTTTATTTAGTTTTGGAAAGCTCCAACAAGAGCCAAGTAATAACAGCGTTCCAAAGCTGCGCTGAGGATTTCATTGAAGTTCTAACCTGAATTATACTGCAATTTGTTCCCTCAATTACTTGTGCAGTGTTTCAACTTGATTTCGATAGGTGGCTTAAAATGAAAAAATATTTATAAAAAGGTGTTTGGCCAAAATTAATCTTTTGTGAAATTCCTTGCTTTAGGGAGTGGAAGTAGCTGGGGAAAACGCCGCTGGTGATGAGACGCCGCACCCCGGGGTCGCTGGGAGGGCTGGTGAGGTTTCTCAACCGGAATCCCAGTTTCTGGGTAGGGATGTTGACTTCATAAGTGTCAAAGAGTTTTTAATGCGATTAGTATTTTTTCATGAATAAGAGGTCACTACATAAAATGTTTGCCTCTTGGCAAAAATCGCGTTATAAAGATGTACTCGCTCTAGGTTTAAAGTGTTAATTTATGTGGCACACTGAATTGGATTTAAAGGTCCCTGAAGACCTTTGAATCGCCGTGTAGCTAATGAGGCTTGCAGAAGAGAGCTTGAGAGAGGAAAAACTTACTGGCAGTGAGTAATGCTGGTGAAAGAGCTCCCGGATTGAGCAAGTTTTGCAGAGAGTAATTAGAAACGATCGCATCGGCGTTTGATTACTTCCAGCTATGGATCTCCCCTGGCGCTGTCTCTGCAGCCCCCCGCGCCCGGGGGATGCTCCTCCCTACCCAAACCCTTCGGGTTGAGTTTTTCCAAGTCCTAGACCGCTTCCAAAGGGACCAGCTCCTTGTGGGAAGAGCTGAGCATCCCACCTCACGTCCCCCTTGGTTCTCCTCCTCGGCTCAGCCGAGCTGTCCCCGACGGAAAGGCTTTGGCGTTGACGCTCTCATCCCCCCGTTCAGCTAAATCGTCCTTGCCAAAGATGCTTAAACTTGTCCTTCTCCTTCCAGCTGGCCTTGCTGAACTTCTTTCACCCCGAAGAAAAGCTGCACGTTGGAGAAGAAGGTAGACGCGTCCGTCGGAATAAAAGGAGTAAAGGCAGCGAGGGGCCGGACGGTGAGTCCCGCGTCGTTCGTCGCCGCAGACACGCAAAAGGCTGACTGGGTTGTTGGTTTGGGTTTTTTTCAGATTGTGGTTATATACAGAATTCTGTATAGGGAGGGGAGGGGAGAAAAAAAAAAATTGCCATCTGTGGCTCATAATAGTTTCTGTCTGATTTTGATTGCCTTCCAGATGAGGAATTCCAGTAGTTCTGATTTCTGCAACTGTGGGTCTAGTGCAGATTAATGCTGCTCAGTGATATCGGCCTTGACTCTTCTTCTCTAATACTGAGGCTCTGTGCTCCTTTAAGGCTACGATTTGTTCTTGTGCACCTGTATTTGTTGTTCTGTACACCTGTCACTGCTTAAAATCATCACGTAGCTATTGGTAGTCTAACAAAGAGCTTAAACACCTGCATCACGAAACCGTAACGGGATTTTAACGGGATTCTGTGGTGCAGCAGCGGGGCTCAGGTGGGTTCAAAGCCCACGTGAAGGGAAGTCAAAGTTGCACGGAGCTTGTAGCAAAAAAGCAGAAAGGTACCCAAAAATCAAAAGTATTTATCTGCGATTTGACAAATATAAAAATGAGGATGATGCAAACCCCAGGGATGTGGGGCTTCCTCGGAGTCGCTGGATGACAGCCTGAGCCCTCCGTGGCGTGCCGGGGGTCTCTGTCCTCCGGCTCCGCAGGGCAGCAGCTCCTGCTTCCCTTTGCTGTCACTGTCCCCTGGTGCGTCACGCGTCCTCCGCGTGTCCTGCTCTGCTGCGCTCGGGTGCCGAAGCCCTTCTCTTGCGTCTTGTCCCCTTGTTCGAGGCATTCCAGTTGGGTTTGGGCTTGGTGTCCCCCAATGCGCCTGCCCTGTGGGGATATTCCCACCACCCTCTCCGGGGTGGGTGGTGCCATCATCTGTTGTACGTGTGCCTCGTGCAGATACTGAATATCACAGCTCGCCCCAAGTGGGGCTTTTCTTAAGGCTTTTTCATGGTTAATCTGGGAAGCTGTGGGAGATGGAGGCCACTTGATGGCCGTGAAGGTGCTGAGAGCAGGAGATGGGCTGCCAGGGTGGGTTATGGCTTTGCAGGGTGAGGGGGGAAGGTCTGGGAGATACGGGGCAGAATTATCAAAAGCTTCTGCCTGAGGGGCTGGGCAAGGGGCAGCCTGGCAGGAGATGCGGCGGTGGGAAGCTCAGTTTTTGAAGGTGGTCATGCAGAGGGGTCACGGCAGTGTGTGAAAGGGATGGGGGGCGACTGGCAAGGAGCACAAAATTCTTAGGTGGGGCATAACTTCAGGTAAGCGCTGCGACGCCTTCACTGCACCAAACCCACTCACTTGTTGAGAGCTTAAGGAGTAAATTCCAAGAGTCAAAACTAACTTCACCTTCAGTACCTTACCCCTGCCTGATTTCCTAGAACCCTTCTAGTGAGAAAAGACCTTTAAAGATCGTCGAGTCCAACCCACGCAAGTCTGGCAGGAGGAATTCTCTTTCCAAGGCTGTCCCTTCGTGGTTGTCCAAGCACGCTGAGACACGAGGGCTGCCTCCCGTGTTGAGCTCCTGGGAGAGCCCAGCTCCAGCTTTATCCAGAGAGAAGAAGGGGAAAGTAGGGGAGGAAAGGAGGGAGCAGCGGCGTGTGCGTGGCTCGGTGCCTGTCCCGGCTGCCTGACAAACCTCTCGGCTGTCGTTCCTTTGCCTCTCCAGCTCCCTGGCTCCGGGAGTTCCCCACCTTGATGTGTCTTTTGGAAGATTAGGGACCCCGTAGCGTGATGGGGGGAAATTGCCAGAGCGACAGGTCGCTTTCCTGGTGGCATTAGCCATGTTATGTTGGCCAGGAGTTACTTAAGCCTTTGGCCATCTCCGTTTGATTAGGTGGAGCGGCGTGTAACAAGCCTGAGCTGTCAGGGTAGGGATTGACCTTGTGAGAACCGTGAAATCAATAAATGGGAGGAATAGCTTTCTCGGGTAACTTGGGCTGTTTGTTTCAGACCTCTGCTTTTTAGAGAAGCGCAATGAATCGTTAAAAAAAAAAAAAAAAGTCGTGTCACGGTACTGATAACATCGTTTTCTCCCTGAGTTTTGCACGGGGAAAGTTGATCGAATCTTTGATCTCCAAAGAGCCTCCAGAAGATAAAAGTGGATGAACTATAAATTCCCAGAAGGAAGGAGATGTGCTTTCCACTTGAGGCCTCGACTAATATTTGTCTGGAATTCATTTTATGAACTTTCAAGTCCTTTCGCGTGTGCGGTGAAAGCCCAAAGTGATCCCGGCGTGGAAGCCGTGGCTGGAGGGAGGCTGCTCGGGCTCCTTCCACCACTGCTCCAGTCTCGCTCATTTTGGTACCACCGACGGGATGGCTCTGAGGATTTATCGGTGGCAAAGAGAACGTGGTTCCTTTCCTAAAAGCTTGTTTTCTTTTAGGAAAATTTGCTGTCAAGCGTTTTGCTGGGGGGAAAAAAAATGCTGGTTTTGAGACAGGTCAGAGCTGGTCACGTGGCGCCGAGGACGGTGCTGGCCGGGGCTGGGACGTGGGTGACCACGAGCACCGAAGCTGCTTCGGTGCCTCTTTGCTGCTTTCCAAAAAACCCCGAGAAAAATTGTGTGCGGTAGTGCAAAGCTGTCGGCTGGGTCTCGCCACTTCCAGACATGACCCCGGCATTTCAAGAGCTCCTCCTTTGCGGGCTCCGAGCCGCTCGCCGTGTTCTACGGTCGCGTGTGCTTAATTTTTGTAATTGCAACTATTTTTTTTTCCTGCTTCTTAAGGGCCAGGATTATCCCCTTGACAGTTCTTTTTTAGGGTGTTCTTTGTACTCTGTGTTGCCGACTCCACCTGTCACTTGATTTGCTTTAGCTCACTAAGACCTGACCCTCACCACTGTCTGTTTTCTTGGATTTCTCCCCTTTTCCCCTCCTTCCTTTTTCTCTTGCTGTATTTACACTGCTGTGGAACCGCTTTTGCTCCCAGTTTAACAAATCACTCCGGAGCTGGTAATTAGCAACAGTTGTGCTAAAAGGAACCATCAAGAATGTTAAATTAGTCCACTTTTAAATAAACTGTGTATGAAATGTTAGATCTCTATTCCCAGAGCACCAGTAAAAATGCTGCTGGCTCTTTGCTAACAAAGCCAAAATATGGGAGTAGCATGGTTGTAACTACAGAGACAATTCCGTGCTCTTGAGGTTATAAATAATGACAGAGCATTCACAAAGCAGATGTCAATAGGACTCTTTAAAAAACATTGGGTTTTTTTTTAAAAAAACCCCCAACAAACTAGTTTCTTTTTCTCCTACTTTCATCTCTGTTCCCAGTTAGATCCCTGCCGTGCTGCTTTCCTGGTTTATTTGGTTTTTGCTTATTTTTTTTTGGTTTGGGGTGGTGGTGGTTGCCTTTTTTTTTTTTTTTCACCCCTTTCCTAAATTTTTTTGTATTGAGCTTGGTGAGAAACACGAGAGATTGTTATCCATTCTTTGATTTGGAGCATGGCAGCTGGGAAGAGGCTGAGCAGATGGCTGTCCTTAAGCTGACAACAATTTGGTTCCTACTACTTTGGCAGTCCTCACCGCCGAGGAACGGCCCTGATGAGCGCTCGTGGGTTTCGGCACAGCAAATGGCTTCTGTCGGAATGAAAATTAAATACCGGGAGAGCAGGAGCTCGTCCTGATCCCTGCTTCTACCTGGAGCTTTGGAAGTGATGCACCGGCTACGCGGGTCCGGTGCTTCATGCTTTTGGTAGGGTTCATTGATGGGCTTAGGATGGGCTTAGGATGGGCTTTGGATGGGCTTTGGATGGGCTTAGGATGGGCTTTGGATGGGCATAGGATGGACTTAGGACAGGCTTAGGGTGACCTTTGAATGGATACAGGATGGGCTTTAGGTGGGCTTAGGATGAGCTTTGGATGGATTTAGGACTAGCTTTGGATGGGCTTAGGATGAGCTTTGGATGGGCTTAGGATGACCTTTGAATGGATATAGGATGGGCTTTAGGTGGGTTTAGAATGAGCTTTGGATAGATTTAGGACTAGCTTTGGATGGGCTTAGGATGAGCTTTGGATGGACGTGGGATCAGCTTTGGGTGGGCATAGGATGGACTTAGGATGACCTTTGAATGGATATAGGATGGGCTTTAGGTGGGCTTAGGATGAGCTTTGGGTGGGTGTAGGATGAGCTTTGGATGGGCATAGGAGGAGCGTGGAATGGGCACAGGATGGGCTTTGGGTGGGCTTAGGATGAGCTTTGGGTGGGTGTAGGATGAGCTTTGGATGGGCTTAGGATGAGCTTTGGGTGGGCGTAGGATGGGCTTTGGGTGGGCTCCAGGGTGGTTTAGCAGGTAGCCAATGGCAGCCCTCCTCTCCCACCCTAGCAAGGCTGGTGATGCAATAGGGCTGGTTTGTTGGTTGTTATTATTATTATCATCAATTATTTTTATATCCAGATTACAATAGCGACTTTTCCTGCCGGCTTCCTCTGCGCTGGGGGGGGCAGGTTTGTCCCTCCTCCTGCAGAACAATCGGAGCCTTTGTGTCGGCCCCACGCAATTCCCCAAAGAAGCCCCGGCAGAAGTTCCCAGAATTGCAGATGTCCGAGGGGCGATAGAGCCTTATTGTGCTCCGCAACCATGGTGATGAGCGCTCGGGAAATACAGAACATTTCCTGGACGCTGGAGCGCGGGAGACGCTCCCACAAGAAAAGGTCGCCACAGAGGGCTCGCACTTGGTGGTCTCCCCCAGAATTTCTCAGTGATTTCCCCCAAAATGGGCGGGGAGGGGGGGAACTAAGGTGATGTTTGGATCTTTGTGGCCGAGCTCCATCCCTTGCCTGTGATGTTGCCGTCAGAGCTTGTTATTGCTGCAGTAAAATTAAGACTGCAGCTTGTTTACCTACGTGTTGTAGCTAGGTTTATAGTACTAAGGCAATTCAAGCTCCTCTGAATTCTTTATTTTCTTTTTTAATACTGAAATTACTTTGAGGTCTACTGTGGTGTCCACAAGCAGTCTTTGCATCAGGAAGCAAGAAAGAAC